TGTCCTCTGGCCTGCCACCGCCCCGCCCGCAGGCTGTCCATCCTGCTGACCTACCTGTTTGGCAGGAGCGAGTCGTTTGTGTGGGTCATGCGCTGGGCCCACAACTTTGCCAGGGTGAGCGCCCAGGCCGACCCCGACCCCGGCCAGCAGGCGTGGGCAGGCGCAGCGGCCAGCCTCGCCGTGTGCTGCCTGTGCGGGAGGTGTGCTGAGCGCACGGCACGCGCCCACCACCCCGCGCCCACGCCGCTACCGCCGCAGGTGTCCAGGGCGGCGCTGCGGCCGGTGGCGGATGCACTGGGCCCGCCCGCCGCCGTGGTGGGGCAGGCGCTGGCGCTGGCGGGCGGCCAGGCCTGGCAGGCGCTGGCAGGTGCGAGGGCAGGGCTGCGCCTGCGCCTGCGCCTGTGCCTGGCTGGTGTGGCATCGCCCTGCCGCCCGCTGCAGTCCATCCCCTCAACGCTGGGCACTCCCTGGCACGCTGCCCCTGCAACAATGGCGGCCCCCGCAACCTGCCCTCCCAGCCTGCCCTCCTGCCCTTCCCCCGCCCCGCCCTGCAGCCGCGGGCCTCACGCTGGCAGCCGTCGCCCAGGCGGGCCTGGCCCCAGCGGCCGCCCTGCTGCTGCAGTGCTGGGCAGCGCTGGGTGCCGCGCTCCTGCCGCTGGCGCAGGTGCGCGGCCTGCCTGCTGCGGCGGGGCTGCCGTGCCTGGGCCGGTGCGGCAGCGCGCTGCTCGCCGTGGCCGTGGCTAGCAGCCTGTGGGCGTGTCCCACGCACCTGCGCCCTCACCACCTGCTGCCCTGTGCCCCGCTCTGCCCCTGCAGGCCCTGCAGGGGCCGCTGCTGTGGCTGGGTGGCAGCTTCCAGCAGCTGGGGGCGGCATCAAGTGAGGGCAGGCAGCGGGCGGCCGCGCTGCGCAGCCTGTGCTGGCGCCTGTGCGGCCCTCCCAACCCCTTGCTTCCAGGAGCTGCCTGCGCCTGCTGCTTTGCCGGCCTGCCTGGAGCACTCATTCGTTGCGCCGCCACCCGCCGCTGGGCTGCAGTGGCGGTGTGGAGGGTGCTGGCGGAGGCGGGCGCCGGCATCGCGGCGGGCGGCGCCGCGCTGGCGGGCGCCGTGAGCGCCGGGCGCGCCGCGGGCGGCGCCACGTCCCAGGCGGTGGCCAGCCAGGTGAGCAAGGTTTCGCACAGGCCCGCTGTCTGGCCCCCGCTGGCGGCAGCGCAGCAGCGGCAGCGGCGGCGGCGGCGGCCGCGGCGGCTGGCTGGCGCTCACGTGGCGCCCTCGTGTGCTGTGTTGCTGCGCAGGCGGTGTGGCTGTACGTGCTGCCCGTGGATGCGCTGGAGGTGGTGAGGAGCAGCGCCGTCAAGGCGGCCAAGTCGGCGCAGGCGGTGGCCAAGTTCTGCCTGCACGTGCGCTCGACCGCTGCGCGGGAGGGGCGGCGGCCGGGGCGCCGGGGCTGCTTGCTGCTGGCCGGCATGCGGGCTCCGCTCTCGGCTGCTGCTGGGCAGCCATGCGGGCGGGCCACCGGTCCCCAGCCAGTGCTAGTGATGGTGGTGGTGGCAGTGATGGTGATGGTGGTGGTCATGTGTGCTGAGCGGGCTTTCCGTGCTGCCCCCGGGCGCTGTGCTGCCGGGTGCAGATGTGCGACAGCGTGGTGCGGCACCGCCTCACGCTGGAGCTGCGGGCGGGGCGGGCCTGGCGGCGCGCCAAGCAGCGGCTGCGGGCCGCCGCCCTGGCGCCGCTCATGGTGCTGGCGGTGGTGGCCAAGTGGCTCATTGTGACGGCCAGGTGGGTGGCAGCGGGGCGCAGCCCGCGAGGCATGCCAGGGGCAGTGTGCGCGGGTTTGGGAGCACCTGGGGGGGCGTGGCAGAGCGGGGGGCCAACCTGCGTGCAAGGGCCTGATGCGCTCGCTTGGCTTTACAACGGGCATGTGCAGGCTGCTGGTTGTGGTCGCGGAGCAAGACCAGCCCAGCCAGCAGCAGCAGCAGCAGCAGCAGCAGCAGCTGGACAAGCAGCAGGACCAGCAGGACCACGAGCCAGCACAGCTTGGAAGTGAGGCGGAGGGAGCGGCCGCTGCTGGCGGGGGCCACATCACGGGCAGCTCCCTGACCCAGCGGCGCACTGCCGCGACCGGCGGCGGACAGGCCGGCCTGGTGGGAGGGCAGCTTGCGCCCGATCCGATGCTTTCTGATGCATGGGACCGGCAGCAGCCGACCCAACCATGACTGATGACAGCTGCTGGCGTCCAAATTGTAGCTTTAGTTCAGTGTACGAATAGCACCGCGCCCTTTTTTCTTGCCCGCCCGAGTGTACTACCACCAACTGCCAATTCGTTCTTTCTGCGTCCTCATTTATCCCCCTGATTCACTTTGCACCTTTTCTCCTCGTGAGTTGGAGCGCCTTTGGCACCGCCGCAGTTGACAATACCAAGCAGCTGACGATACTGAGCCCCCTTCATCCTTGACAAAATGCTGATGCTCCTTACATGCTCCTTGTATGATCTTAACACTTCCAGCGCTGGGAGCGTTCATAGCCAACTCCAACAGGTGCAAAAGAAAAGGGGCCTGGCAGTGCTCACTTCCGCTGCTTCCTCTGCTGCTGCTGCTGCTGCTGCTGCTTCTTGGCGGCAGGCTTGCCTGCCCCGCCTGCCGGCTTCTTCTTCGCCTGCTTGCCTGCTGCCGCTTGCGCAGCTGCAGCTGCGGCGGCGGCCGCCTGCTGCTGCTCCTTCTTAGCTGCCTGCTCAGCCATCAGCTCCTCCCGAGCCCGCTTCACGATACCGCGCTCCTTGCGTGCGGCGGGTGCCTGCGCTGCCTGCGCCGGCGGCGCCGGCGGCGCCTGCTGCCCCTTCTTAGGGGCCGGCTTGCCATGTGCCGCAGGCTGCTGCTGCTGCTGCTCCTCCTCCTCGCTGCCGCTATCGCCGCCGCCGGCCGCGGCAGCGGGCTGCTGCTTGCCGCGCTGCCGCTGCCGCTTGCCCTGCTGCTTGCCTGCCTCCGCCGCCTCCTCCTCCTTCTCCTCCTCCTCACTCTCCTCCCCATCCGTGCCCTTCACTTTGTTGCTCATCTTCTTCAGCTTGCACACAAAGAATCCTGCACAGCGGGAGCGGCCGGTGGGGCGGGGGGGCGCAGAGCAGGTTGTGGCCGGGAGATGGCTGGCCCCCCGAGCTCCAGCATGCAGCAGGCGGGGTGCAGGCCTGGCCAGCACGGGCCGCCCCTGCCCCTGCAGCGGCAGCGGCAGCGGCAGCGGCCACCCACCGTCCAGGTTGTGTGCGTGCGGGTAGAAGCGGCGCGCCTCAGCCAGGGAGGGGTGGAAGCGGAAGTCACGGAAGCGGATGAAGCCTGGGCGCCCAAACTCCAGCCCGCACGGCACCACCTGCAGCGGGCACAGCACGCGCAGCGTGCGGAGCAGGGCGCGGCGCCGGGTGGGGCGCAGGCGCATCGCAGCCGGGCCTCCACTCACAATCAGCTACTCAGCGCCCTCCGTCTAACAGCCCACACACGCTTCCCACCACACACCACACGTGCCACACAATACAAGCGGTCATGCCACCCACCTTGACGTCCCTCCTCTTCAGCGCATAGTTCACCACATTCTCGTTCTCCTCCACCATCATGGAGCAGGTGGAGTAGACCTGGAGGGGGGGCGGCGCGGGCGGGGCGGCGTGACGGACGCGTGAGTGGGCCGGGGGAGGCGAGCGGCCACCCTCCCTCCAGCCACAGCGCGGCTGCGCCCGGCCCCCGCAGCACAGCCGCGGGTCGGGCTCACACCCCCCGCCACCACCACGCACACACAGGCAAGCGCACGCAGGCGCGGCGCAGGCGCGGCGGGGGCTGCGGCCGCGCGCGCACCACGTAACCCCCCGTCTGCGAGGCGGCGTCGACGAGGTCGATG